GACATCCAATAATGTACAGTATTTGAAAAATAATGTGTTTTTTGAACATTAAAGCATGTCAACATATTCTGTTACACCAAATAATGATCTTTAAAAAAAGCATCCTATGACCCCTTTAATGATGCCCCCCCCTTAATTTTCTATTTTAGTAAGATAGCCCCCAACATATTTTCTTAAATGTCATTGATGTAAAATACTAAATCAACTATTCTATTTAAAATTGTGTGTTGACAATTTAGATGAATAATTGAATAACTGCTGTTTACGTATCTTTAAAATATGGGGAAAATATATGTCATAATTGAAACACTATGAGCTCAAATTGAATGGTTCAATCAATTAGCTAATGGGCTTTAAGTGAAGATGTCTGAAATGTATATGCAATTCATGGAATTATTTAATAATATAATAACCCCATGAATTATGCATACAAACCGTAATAAAACTATGGAATGAAAGAAAGAATGTACTTTGAAAGAATGTAAGAATGTAATGTAAAGACAGAAGAATGTATGTTAGCTTGATTATTGTGGCCAAGGGCTTTATCAAGTCCTCACATCATATTAACAAGGCACTATGCTTTTAATCATAGGTCAAGAGCTGTATCCAAACACATACATTTGTGATGCTGTTTGCAAATGCTTGTTGGAACTATGGTTTCAAGAAAACAGCAACTCATTAAACAGAAGTACATTAGGAACTTTGGACCATAGTTAGCTAACAATGCTTTTAGGAAACACACCCCTTTGTTATTTGTTAGAAAAATTCTTAGAAATGTGGTTCCTTCTTATTTAAATGATTTCAGAATGACCAAGTTATCAGTGGTACAATCCCCAATAACCATTTTATAACCCATTACAGTAAAAAGTGTAAATATCAAACAGGCCTTAATTAATATTTTATATGTTGACCTCATACAATTCAAATTTGTCCTAACTTTAATATATTGTAATTTAGAATATACTCCGGTACAGAATATGTCTGTAGACTTTATTCAAAATCATTCCCATGCCCGTTTTATCTGTTGTGCGGCTACAGTACCACAGATTAACCTGAGATTGATCTCACAGACAAGTTCTTTAATCCAATTCTTGCAGTAAATACAGTCTGGAAGGAAGTGGCACTGAATGAAGAGAAGGAGAGAGAAATGTACATATACATATATAAAGGATTACATTAGAGCTAGCCAAAGGTATCGTATCAACCATGTTACCTGAAAAGAAGTGCTGTGCTACTGACTAGGTGAATGGCAGTCACATGAAACCCAATGTGGCAGCAGCAAATGGAGAAGAGAAATTTCCACCCCCACCCTCCAGTCAGGCGGTCTTAAAATATTCCCCTGAGTCTGTGCCTCCTGGATTACAACCACCAAAGATTACCGATTTATAAATAGAACAGATAGATGGACAAATGAAGGAGGTTATGGGAGGATGTCCTCCCTTGATTTGTGATTGTCTGCATGGCAGAGATGGATGCACATCCCTT